AGGAGGGGCATATACAGCCGGTGTTACCTAACCGTCATTCAGCGACTATTAGTAAAACTATGAAAAACATCTTGAAGGGTGTTGATCCTTCACTCGGAAAGGCGTCTTGCCTTTCAGGGTGAGCGACAGGTGAAACCGGACCGTCAACCAGCAACTCTTGCCATCAGAATAAAAATAGGTTTAGGGACATGAAATAGAAAACTAAATCAATGTGACCAGTCACCCAATATAAAGCAGGAAATGAATAAGCTAAATGTTAATATTTTAAGTGTATGCGAAACTAGGTGGCCATACAAGGTGAGATTTCGTCAATGACAAGCAGTCATATATTCAGGCGGAGAGAAAATGAGAGGGGAGTAGGACTTACATTAGATCAAAACATGAAGAAATGTTCTGGAATACTTACAACTATAGTTACTGGGATACTATAAATCTATAGAATTCTTGTACTTAGACTGAAAAGGAAACTTTTTAACATATGTTATATATGCACCGTCACAACAAAGAAGAAACTGAAAAGTTTTACTGTATTCAAAGACAACGCCACGGCTCAATGCAAATCCAAGGAAATTACAATCGTCATGGGAGATTTGAATGCCAAAGTAGAGGAGAGATTGTAAAATAGTTGGCAGATTCGAACTATGAACTCAAAGTGAACGAGGAGAAAACAAGATCCAATGGTGAACGGCAAACGATCAGATAGAAGGCAACACTTAGTTTCAAGAACACTCAAGACGTATATGGACATAGAGAAGCTCAAGAAGAGAAAAGAAGAGCTAAATTGACTATATAACGATCCATAAGAGATTCACGAATGGACTTTACACCATAAAGTGCTAACTGCGAGAGCGACCACATTCCAGTGAAACTACGGAAATACAGCAGATTCTTGAATTACCCTAACTTGAAGGAAAAGTATGAAGACACCGTTAAAAGCAGATAAAATGAACTAATTGAGAATGGAAATTCGAAGTGGGTCACATTAAGAAAATCTTTAGTAACATCAGTAAACGAGATCATCCCAAAGAAAAATAGACAAGGACAAAAGTAATGGATGACTGATGACATTCTCAACATGAAAAGGAGACATCAAACTATGGCAGGAATGAGAGGAATGACTCAAAAAAAAAGTGTGCAGAAATAGAAATAATGAGAATCACTGTTAAAGCAGATATGCATAAAAGAATAAGTGAACAAACAGAAGAAAAGACATACTTATCAACAGAATTCAAGGATGGAATATGTCAGAGTTGGAATATTAAAATCTGAATTGAAATCAGCAGTGGCCAAATTGAACAAGAAGAAAGCAGTAGGACTAGATGGAATTGTAATTGATATTCAGCTTTTGATGATTTCAGCATTGACAAAACATAGTAAATAAAATATAGACAATGGTGTTATACCGGAAGATCAAAGTAATTCCATATTTATAGCGTTGCCTTAGAAGCCAGGTCCAAACGAATGAGAACTCCATCGTACAACCAGCCTAATGAGTCATAAAACAAAACTTATCATCCGAATTCTGACGAATAGAGCGCGTAGCAAAATTAAACTCGAAAGAGGACAAGAACAATGCAGTTTCGCTAAAGACACTAGAACAAGAAATGCGATACTCATTCTCTGAATACAAATACAATGTGATGTATACCTATATTTTATAGATTATGCAAAAGCATTTCATAAAGTACATCACCAAGAACTATTTGAACTGCGAGTTAAGGTTGGTTTATTTGGGAAGGATATTAAATAATCCAGAACCGCCCGCATACGGACAGAAAATTAGTTCAGTAAATACACAAAAATAGAAAGGGGTGTAAAACAAGGATGTGTCTTCTCACCAGATTTATTCAACCTTTAGAGTAAAGCAATCCAGAGACAATTAGAAATCATACCAGGATTCATTAGATATGTAGATGATACAGTGTTGATAGCAGACACGGAAAGGCATCTACAGGAACTCCTACAGAAGGTATTAAAGGAAAGCGAGAAGAAAGGACTAAGAATCAGTAAGGTTGTCAGTAAAAGGAACAGCCCAAAATGCGAATGACAAATTGAAGGCACTAAAATCAAGTTAGTACAAAAATTTAAATATCTAGGAAGTGTTTTAACAGAGAACAAAAAATGCGACACCGAAATCCGAGGGCACATTGGGATAGTGAATAATACATTTCAAAAGTTAGGCAAAGTATTATGAAACAGGAAAATTTAATTAGAAACAAAGAAAACTAATCTTCTTATGACAGAGACAATAAAAAATAATACGTTTAAACCAGTCAAAAAAAAAATCTATTACACTTTTTTTCTCTAATATTCGTGGCATTCCTTCTAATTTCTGTGGTGTTAAATCTTTTCTTTTGAAACGGTCTCCAGATGTTTTCGCACTAATTAAATTCTTCTATAGTAAATTTTCTGCTCCAGGCTATCTTTTTCTTTGCCGAAAAAATGATAACATATATGTTTGGCCTCGGTGTTTATCTTGGGGAAAATATGTTAATTGCAAGGGAATTGTCTCTTAAGCTGTTTCTTTCATGTGCTTCTGACTTTAATTATTGCGCTCTTTTAGCTATCTCTTTTTCCTTTATCGCTTCCCTTCTTCTCAGGACTGTAATATATTAAACAAAATTTCTGATAATATAGAAATGGTCCTTTCTTTACATCTATCTGCGAATATTTTTTGTGTTTGGTGATTTTAATACTCATTTTTACACGTCATTGATATTTCCGGTATTTAGACTTTCCATTGCTCAGTCAAATAGTGAATTTCCTACTTGTTTCCCTAATAAATCTATTCAAAATTCTTCTTTACTTGATTTGTTTCTTACCTCGACTCCTATCTCATGTCCTCTTGTCAATTCGGATCACGCTGATATTTTTTGAGTCGTCTATTAAAAAGGAACCTCCTATTCACAATACTTCTTTCTGTTGCTAGCGTACTGGCTGTGATTAATTTCGTGGCTTTATTCGAAGACGACACTTAGATTGATATTTTTAACCTTCTTATTGAGAAATGTGCCACAGAGGTCTCTTCTTGGGTTAAAGTCAGCATTGCCGCTTTTGTATCTTCTCGCAAATATCAGGTGAAACTACAATCTCCTTGGTTCACATCATTCTGTTCAGTCGCTATAGCCTGTATGAATAACTTTTTCCGGGTTTACTAAGGTGATAACTCTGATCACAACAGACGCCTATCTGTGACTGTTCGAAATAATTGTAACCGTATCCTCAAAGAGGCTAAGTCTTCGTTTGCTGATACACCGTATAGTCTCTAACAACTTTAGTTCATGTGACTACTGGCGGCTCCGTGTATTAAATAAGAGTAAGTCTTCTATCACTTCACTCTTCACTCACTTTGAGGTATTAACATCTTCTGCTGATAAAGCAAAATGTTTTACTCGTAAATTCTCTTTAAATTCTACTCGTGATTTATCTGGAGTACATTTGCCTAACTTTCCACTTAGAACTGAGTCTCCATTGAGTGATAAGCATACAACTCCATCCATGGTTTCTGCTATCATTTCTAAAATGGAGCCTCACAAAGTATGTTGACTTGATGGCATCCCTGTGATTGGATTAAAGAAATGACCTAAAATAGCTCCTTTTCTCTTTAAACTCGATAATAAATGCCTTTTGGTTTTCCTGCTTGTTGGAAATTCTCTTCTGTAGTCGCTGTCTTTAAGAACTTAGGCGAACCATCTGATCCTTCTAACTATTGAAAAGGTCATAGTATTTCTAGACGAATTTTTTGAAGTGATTCATTCTTCCTTATCAAATTGCGAAATGAAAATTGAATGGCTTTTCTAGATCTTTTTGCATAAATGCAGGTGTTTCCCAGGTTTCTATCCACACGGACCCACGTTGTTTCTAATTTTGATAAAATGTTGCCATCAGTTCTCACCTAGCTATGGCACAACTATTTACTCCTGTCTTCTACTGATATGAAGTGAAAAGTGTATATTGAATCAATTGCTAAGTGTGCAGCTAAGAAAGGTGGTTCACTGTGTCGTGCTAGACAATTTTTCTCGCCAGAATCTATCATACATATTTGTAAGTCTACCATTCGTCATTGTTTTGAATATTATTATCACATACAGGTTCTTGATACAAAGAAGAATATACAATGTTATTGTTCCCGACCTCGCATCTCGTCCTATGTCCCTTTACCACCACCGTAACGTAGCTTCCCTGTGACTTTTCTATACATTCGTTCATAGTAGTTGTTTTGATGAACTATCCGCTGTGGAACGTAGACTTTATGATTTTAAGCGTAGTACTAGTTTGGCGAAAAGGTTTCATCCTCTTACAGTTGAAATGGCTAGATATAACATTAAATTATATGCTAATAGTTTGTTTTATCGCACTTCTAGCTTGTGGAACTCTATTTCGACTTCTTGCTTCTCAGTCAAATTTGATCTTCAAAAATTTAAATGCAATGTCAACCGTTATCTTCTATCATCTTAATTCTTGTTTTTTTTAATGTCCTCTCTCCTTTATAGTAGTTTTCTCACATTCTCTAACACATCAGTATCCCCTTGCGTCCTAGTGGCATTATTGCCTTGTTTCAGGGTGAAATGATTAAAAAAAAAAATATGGGCAAGAATGCTGGACAGTCTCGCCACAGATGGGGAAATCATAGACTGAACATGTGAGCAACGACAAAGTTTGAGAGAAAATGGAGACAAAAAGGACACGTATTCGTAGCATCAGCAAGTGACAATTGAAATTTCTAGGGGCACATAATGTGGAAAGAGGGCTTAGAAAATTTCACACCCACAGGAAATATTGCAGGCAAAAGGAAGTGAGGAAACCTACTTAAAACGCTTGTGTAAATGTTTGACAGAACAGTGATTAGAAGAGAAAGCAAAAGTCAATTTTTACTAAACGCTACAAAGGTCAGGGAATTGTAGAGAGCCATTATCACCCACGCCCTGACGAGACACCGTACATAGAAGTATAATGATGAAAAAAGTGTTTATGTTATATCTATGTTTATGTTATATATATCATATCGAGAGAAAGACAAGAGGGAGAGATAAAACAATGAAAGTAAAAGGATGCAAGAAGTAAAGAGACAAATAGAAAACGAAGAGAAAGAAGAATAGAGAAGGTAAGACATTAAAGATGAATAAAAAAATAACAGAGAATGAGAATGTGTTTACCTTGTACCAAGTTGATTTGTTGTTGCATTTCATCCCGATGCTTTTGGTCCTGTTTTACTTGTTCTTGGAATGTTTCTGAAATTAACAAGAAAATAATTCCCATATGCAAATTATTTCTATGAGACACAGATGCAAACTTTACTTCATCTTCCATTTAGAAAAAAGGATTTTACGATGATGACTTAGAATATATATATATATATATATATATATATATATATATATATATATATATTCAAAAGAATTCTTCAAAATGACTGTTGGCAAAAACAAAACGCTCATGATAAAGATTTCTGTTATAATCTTCAATAGTCTTTATCCAGCTTCATCTTTATAGTGAAATCCTCCTTCAAATAATCAGAATCGTTTTTTTTTTAATTTAACATAATAAGAATATTTATTGGCTTTTCTAATGTATATATTTTAAAGATACCCTTCGCAAATTCGCACAATTTAATATTAAATACTCTTACTACAAGATCTGTCTGAAAGCCTGATACTCCTCCATGATTGCCTATTAGAGTGATAAATATGACACCTTTTTTCATATTTTTAGGAGATCCTTGAAATGATGGCGGTAAAATAACTCTCCCATTACCTTAGTTCTTGCATCACCTAACACATTAGTTGTTCAAAGTTTAGACTTATTGATATCCGACATAATTAAAATTGTTAGTATCAACTTAAAGGTAGGAACCAACTAGTCGTTGCTGAAATTATCTCCCTCCATGAGAGCGTAAGTTATATTTATCTTTCACTTCACTTTGTATTCCAACGTTAAGATTAATGTATCTATTTATGTTAACCATCCCAAGATTAATGTTCATCCCTGGTTGTCATCCTGGTTCTCCATGGGAATGGAATAATTCGTATATTATTGGGTCAATATTAATATAATATAAAGGGTAAGGAGTTAGGGATCGAAGTGATCCTCTTCCATTGACCTGCTCTGTGATTTTCTTACTTTTAGGGATCTGATCGTTTTAATAATAAGTTAATGTTGGTCATTTCGCGATTTCGAAGATAAATACGAAAATCTATTTCGAATGGTGGTTGGGCATCACCATTTATAAAAACCATTGCAATTTCCTTATACAGTCGGTGGTAGGTAATAACATCTTCAAACGCTGTTTGTCTCTCTTTTGCTTGCTTAACAAAGGAGTAGGAATATTGCTTTTGCTGCTTGTTGAGTTTGTTCTTTTTTAATCCTTTCTTAACATTTTATGTACATAACCATTATTAATGCTAATGATATGATCTAAAGTTGCCATAATTTGTGGAATGCAAACTAGTTTATCTTGGCATGAACTGTCAATCAACTGTAGCCATCACGATGTCGGCAAGAAAATACCCACCAAAATCATATCTAAACAAAATTTCATCATCATGAGTTTTCTCAAGAAAATACTATCTTCTTCTAACATGCATAGCAATCTTTATACGATATTCTTTTATTACAATCACATATTCCATGTCGTGTCTTCACTTCATGATTATTAAATATTTTGATTTTATTCGATAAACACACATACTCATGTGCTTTTTCCATACGTTTTAGTAGACACTCCCTGTTTGCATTAGCTACCGCAAAGAAAAAGGTATGATATAAAAATAGCTGAATTGTCCCTCATTACGGGAGAGATAATAATGTTCTCGTGTTTCACACAAATACGTTTGTGAAAATAATTAAATGGGGTCAGAGATTTAAAATACCCATTATTTCTGCAACAATCTTGGCATACAAGAAAGACCACGAAGGATCTTTACTTTGTTGAATGTTGTCCTTAAATTATGAGCAGCTCGATTTTGAAAAGCATGACAAATTGAGACCATTTTATCACTATGGTATATTTCACTTCATATGTAGACATATAATTGATAATAACTTTCAAAGAAAAAATGGTGTTTGAAAAAAGTATAAAAAGGGTATTTTCAAATTAGAAGTGTGGATATACACCGGTTTCATTATAACATTTCTTACTGTCAAATGCTTATGTAAATAATATGCTATATATAAAGAATTACAAGGAATAAAGTACTGACGTCAAAATTATTTCATTTAACTTGACTCTTAAACAGTGTTAATTGTACGCTAACTAAACACCACCAGAAATTGAAGTTTGGATCTAATGAATTCTATACCGTGTTCATACATACCCGAGGTGTTAGTTATCTGTATTCAAATTAATTCTATGCATTACAAACAGTGTGATCGCATTTAGTCACTTGTCAAATTATATTTCTATATAACTGAAGAATTGCCAAGGTCTGTGTAATAGAATTCAAGTGATGATAATGTCATTATAACCGGATAACGATTGAAACCAACTGCCGTCTACATTCATTACCAACATTGATGATTGAATTACTTACGAGTAGTGAGGCGATTGCAACTCTTCCGAACACTGAAAACTGATAAGTTAATCATATAAAGCAAGTGTCACTTCGCAACCTGCTCATAATTACATAATTTAAAGTAAGTGTGCATATTGACTTAAAGCTGTAATTAATTAATATGATAGTCATGAGTATTTGGACAGTAAGCATGATCAACAATTAAATCTATCTTGCTAGGTGAATTACAAGGTTGTTTAAATAGTAGTGTATTTATCCCCAGAACCTCTAATCGCTGGTCAAAGAAAATGTAAACTTGGCAAGACTTCATTCGGAAGTTTAGCACAACACAGTCTTGTCTCACAAGACTGTGTTTAGTACATTCCCGATGCAATATATCCCTGTAATTTCATATATATTACTAATTCATTAATCGGCTGTTTCACACAGTCAAAGAGAAACTGCCCGTGTCAATTCTATTCCATTTAAAAGCTGTTGCTAAATTAGTGAATTCTATTTTTCTTTATGAAAGCTCAAGCAATGATATTACTGACTTGTCAAATGTATTTACAAGGTTCAGTGAAGTTACTTTGCAACTGCAAGTAAATGAGGTCAACTTTATCAAATGTGCTGAGAAGTTTTGCATCAATAGATAAATAATCATTGCATATTAATAGTTTTGAATTAATTTTTCCTGTTTATTTTGATATAGTTGAACGAATGAATGATTTTTCTAGGCGTGTTCACATATGCTTGCTAGCATATATTAAAACATATCGTATTTTTACACCTCTTACAAATACTGGAGAGTATCTACTGTCTACTAAACTAAAGAAATTGATAATGTTAATATGAGACTATAAACTGATATTCACTTGCTTTTATATTATCTCAGAGGTAATTTATACTATATATATATATTTCAGACCAAAACAAGCATCCTTTAGAGCACCCTCCACCAAAAAGCACGAAAACGGGCGCAAAACATGCTTGTACAAGTCGAATACACTGATGCAAATTTTTCGCTCTTGCGTTTATCTAAAATGTCTCATGGGAGTTGCAGTAGAGTTTACGGTAAACAGCTACGGCTACTAATGCTCTCTGGAAAGGCATTAATTCCTTCCTATACAGAGAAAATAACAGGGTAGACCTTGGATAACACGCAGTCTCGGAGAACAACTCTCAATTCAAAACCAGAGTGTTGGGCATAGGATTCGTAAACCCACTCCTTGTTACTAAACCACAGAGACATCCTTGTCCTTGCAGCTCTTGTCTCTATAAAGAGTCCTTGCAGGAATAAACAATGACAAGCAAGCATTCTCGTAGACCAATGCTTGCAGAAAAACCAGTAAAAATCGAAATATTTCAGTCTTCATTTGGTTCTCCACTATTTTGACGTTACACTAGACTAATGAGTTTTTAATGAATACTGATCAACCAAACATTTGGCCGGAATTTTTGTGATGAAGAATTATCATTATTATATGCTGGTCCCTCCAGGGAGATGTGTCAATACTGCTAGACTATGTAGACTCAATAATGGAATCTTTCTTATAGTTTACAATTGAAAAAGAAGCCGATGTTCAAATGGGCTTACAAGATGTGCTAATAACTTGCCCAATATATGAGTTTCTGACATCGATATATTGTAAACCAACATTCACTGGAAAATCTCTGAAATTCAATTCTCACCATTTATACAATGCCCAGAAAGGGATACAGACACGCAGTAACAAGAAATGATTAGCATTAAAAGCACCCTTTGGGGTAACTTGCAAAAATAACACCTTTTCACTTTTCAAAATAAAGAGTTGGAGACAACAATAAAAAATTTGCTTACGGTTTGTCTACTATACATAAGAAAAGATTCAAAGGATCTGCTCTCCATCCAACATCAGATGTCAAGCAATTCAATCCTTCTGGTATTTATTTTCCGAATCTCACCTCTAACTCGAAAAAAAAACCATGAATAAGAAATATTTTTCAGCTATAGCAAAAAAATAGAAAGTGTAGACCAGCTGCCACTTCAAAATAAGGATAGAGAATCACCGAAAAGGAGAGACTTTAAAATCAAGCATAGCTAATCATATGGGGGGGGGGCATTAATTCCTGTAGAATAAAGGCAAGATAATGGAAAACAACAAGGTGATAAGGTGATTGAAAGAATCATGACATCTGTTAGGCACCCCACTAGACCTAGCTTAGAGAGATTCTGATTAAGAAAGAAAGGTGATTCAAAAGAAATTCCACTAACTGAGTCAAGATACTCATACAGTCTCACCACTTGAGTACAGATATTAGGTTTAAGATTCCAGAATTTCGGCATATTTTGAGATACACGTTGCCTAATGGATTAAAGCGGTGGTTAAACCATATCTGGATACCTTGCAGTTGTGAGTTCTCTGGTAGTATTGAAAATCACATACACTGGTTCAGTGGAAGAAATGGATAAGTGACACAACTATGAGTAAGACTAGTGAGTATTAAATGATATGAAATATCTCCTAAGAATGGAAATAAGAAAAATATAACCCTAAGAACTGTAATATGGGTCTAGTTCGAAATTCCAAGAAGCTTACCGATTACAAAGACTATCACTGAAAGAAATCCGGGTTATACAACGACTGACTGAAACGTTGTAAAATATTAGTTGTTATAACCAAAATAAGCATGCTGGTCCGAATATTAAAATCAGGCCAAAATTTGTCTCCACTTTCTTCAAATAAGTACATGAGAACAAAAATATATTTACCTTTAATGGTCTGGCATTCTTTCTCAATTTTCCTCCTGGATTTGATTTCTTGAATTAATTGTTCATGTAGCTGTTCTGAAATAAAGAAAATATAGAAATGTAATTAGGGACTAAATGGAAAACTAATGTACGTTCCAGTATCATTTATATAATCTAAGTGTTCAGCATCTCAAATAGACGAATAATAAATAATCAATGATGTACCCAATTTTTCACCCACGTTGTACCTTGTTATTAGTTTTGCAAATACGACAAAAATAATTATAATCTAATTCATTTTCCTCATCTTTTGAATTTCAAATTGTTCTTTGCAAAAAAAAAAAAAAAATAGATAATTTAGCTATATTGAGATGCCCTAAAAAACTTGGGAAAAATCCAACAAATAACAAATCAGCATAATTAAGTTGCATTAGGCTTAATAAAACATGTAAGACATACCTTTAGTCATAGAGAGAATATCTGGAGCAGGTGAGTGAGACTGGATAACATCTACAGAAAAATAAAAACTTATTCTTGAATTCAAGGCGATGAATTATGACCACATAGGTGTAAGAAATAGATTACAAATATATTTAATGAACATAAACGAGACTCTTTACACCATCTTTGAGTTACTGAAAGGAATATATATGGGAGGTTTTTGCAATGGCATACTTAAAAATATATAATTACAGATTTATTATTATTTATATATCTATGAGAATACCCGTAAAAAAATGAGATTATTTACATTTTATCAATAATGGATCAGAGTATCTGTGTACTCTACTTAGAATCAAAGTGTCAAGCTACTCCAATCCTAAGGACCTTACGATTGGATCAATGCGACATATGACCACGTATGGCTTAAATGTTATCTACTACGCATTGAAAAGAAGTGATATCTATCTGGATAGCTTTCTATCTACGCACATTCTAGCATACATGTATACAAGTACAGAGAAAGAAATACCGTGCTTGTTCAAAAGAGAAAGAGAGAGAGAGAAGAGAGAGAGAGAGAGAGAGAGAGAGAGGTGTATACAATTTATCCGAGAAATCACAATTCTGCCACCTACTTATTCCCAAGTGAGATTCTTTAACTTAACGATACCTTGACAAATTTCTGTTACAGCCATTCTTATGGCGATTATTGCCAATTGCAAATACTGATAGAGACTTCAGTATCTACTTATACAAACTGTGAAGTTCAGGGTTCTGGGTCACATTTTTAAAGTAAAAGTAACAATCAGAAAAACATGTTCTGTAACAGAAGCTACAGAAAGTTTGGCCTTTGGCTCCGAGTGAAAAATCATTGATCATTACTCTGATGCTTGATAAAAAGGAATCGTCTATCACCCTTCAATATTTCGTTTGAGATCATCTCACAGCTTCTTGTTAAGCTTTAAGCTTTACTTTTGACTTACAGACAGGAGCAAACCATGTGCAACATCAACACAAAAGCAGAAAGTAATCATCCAACTGATGTAACATATAAAGCAGATTTATATTATTTTATAGGTTGTTCCTGATGAGTTACCTAACATGACAAACTCAGATGTTGGATCACAGCTCAATATTGAATGCTTTTGTGCTTAGGCCAGAGATAGGGTAACTGAGCCTGTATGAAAATTAAACAATAAAGTCATAGTTTTTTTATTGGGGTGGGGTGGGGGAAGTCATGCAAAATTACTTAGGTATACAATCGATGAAATATTTTGTGTATGCTGATTGCGCATGCGCAGATAAGAGTTACTTACCGACTGTATTACAAGGTATCAGATCACAATCCGTTTCGTCAAATGTTGGTTGTTGCTGGTATTAAAAAAAGAACAAAACAGTATAATAGAAATTATTGATACATTTACAACAAAATATTTATTAACATCCACTTATGGCTGAGGGGGAAAACGTTAGCAGGAATATGTCAATCAAGTTTACAATATGCGATACGTGCGAGCTACTGACTCGCTAAACATTGCGGGACACCATTATGAGTTACGCCAAATATAAAATATCGAATTATTAAATACGTAAACACACGAAATCTTCATGCCTTCTCGAAGACTTACGCATTCATAATGGAAATATGAACTAGATCGGTTTATTTCCGATGTTCTAACATTGTTGCAAGTATAAACGTTTATTAGCGGTTATTAAAAATAGTAACAGAACGATTGTCAGGTGTGAGGAGAAAATAAATATTTCGTGCTGAGAGATTCGAACTCACAATATTATATAGGGAGTTTGAAGTGGTATTTGTTTTCTCAGCTCTGGCACCTTTTTAGAAAAAAATAAATGTACATTCTCTTCAATTACTTGAGTCGTAAACCATTAAACAACATTATACGTATTCGTATACTCAGTTAACGAATTTATGAATAGATGATCACATATTTGTTACATGAAACTACGATTCGACACAATGTCATTATTCTATAAATATTATGTGAACGATTTTCATATTTTAACTAAATGTTTTCATAGAATATATGACAGCTTCAAGCATCAAGGTCGCTTGGATCTGAAAATGATGATTGGTAAATTGCAAACCCAATCTGAAAAATCCAAATGACATCCATTATTTGATTTAATTTTCTCAAACTGACTTTAGTGTTAGCCAAAGACTCTAACGCCTGAAATCTGTGCATTGTTCCAGTTGAGGAATATATTACAACTGGGTTCAGTATAAAACTGAGGAAAGGCGACAATATTAATTCAAGTAGAATAAAAAAAAATGGTCGTAGCATTTTTAAGTGAATTTCAAAACAATATTCAGCTATTTATACATAGATTTATTTAATCATATATGTGCCATTTTGATCATCATTCATCATTTCAGCATCTTTATAGCAGTTTCCTCCTTTCGGAACTCTACATTCTCAGAGATGAACTGGTCTAAATGAATTTTACAGGCTTCCAGAGAACTGAGGTTCTTCCCATTAAAATCGATTGATTGATTCGTTTTTTATGGCTTGTCAACACATTGTAAGTTATTTAAAGCCAGAAAATATTTTTAGATTGTATGAGGTTTTTGAGATAATAATGATTTTTACTAATTAAGCTTATAGAGAAAAGAGGTGGATTCAAACCTTATTTTTCGTATAAGTGAATATAACGAACCCACCTGAAATTGGAACTCGGCTCTCCTATTAACAATTCCCAGCTATTATCTATTACACCACCCAAGCTTACAGCACCATTGCACATCCAAGCTTATAGTACCTGGTATTCCAAAGCGGTCACCCATTTAGGTATTGACAAGGCTCGTTCCCATTAAGAGAAATAAGAGGTAATCTGAAGGTTTAGTAGTTCACCCGCCATACTCACTAGACCTTACACCTTCAGATATCACAAACAAACTGTACCAATTTCAGCCAGGTCGCGTGTGATGTCTAGCTTTGTCCGATGGAAGATGGCTCTCTTCCGATTAACCAATTCCAGATGCTTTTCATCTGTTTCGGCCTTTAATCGGTCCAATTTAGGACAATTTTTGTTTGAATTCAACGTCTGATATTGCGGAAGGAACTTGCAATACACAGATCGGATGCAGACCGGCTTTTGGAGTGGGTAACAGTATCTTAATTTGTTTTTTCCAGGACAGTTTTCACTACACATTGTTGTGAAGAATCTATTTTTCATCGCCTACGGTCGTTCATTTAAAAAATGGGTCGTTTTTTGAATTTGAACAGAGAATTTTTATAAGGCAACCAAAATTGTAGCTATTCTAGTACCCAAGTGTTTCAAGTGCCTTACAATGATTTAATGCCTACAGTGCCTTATAAAATCTGTGAAGTATCTCTGTAATGTTACGTGGGTTATTTTTAATTATCGTTTTGATTTGGTCATCATCAACGATTGCCAGCCCGGTGAAATGTTCTCGGCTTTCCAGGTTGAAAATTTAAACTTTTAAACTTAGTGAACCACTTCGAACATTACCTCTCATCATCAACGTAAACGACATATACCTTTTTTGTTTATATAGCGTTTTCTCGGACGTACATGTTTGTATTTGAGTGTATGTTCAGGTTTGATGGCAATTCGTGCAACATCAATAAATGAATCAATTTTAAAACAGTCCTACGGATACATAAAAGATTTATATATATATATATATATATATATATATATATATATATATATATATATATATATATATATATATTCGAAAACCAACTGAACGTTCTCGGCCCGATCAAGAATCATTTCCAAAAATAATTCTGATTTTCATTGATCATATTGGTGAGATTTTGGTAAGTGGATGTGGCCAAAAAGTTTTTCACCTATAAATTATATGCTAGCCTATAGATTCAATAAGAGTATAAGGTAACAAGCTCATCATGCTAAGTGTTGGCGTTGTGATTTCCAAGATAGCTGGCATTTAACGAGATGTAACTGCTTACCACACGCACAAGTGGTTTTGAATTCAGAGTTGTCATAGACTGGTTGCTAACCAAAGCTATAAAATATATAGACTTCCCTGCTATTAATACATAATTCAAGAATATTTGTGTGAAATGAGATACAACAGTCTCGGCTGAAATTTGAACTGTATATGATATACTAGTATTAATAGCTCTAAAGAACGACATAATTATTTATTTATAGATCTGCACTTCTACGACGAGAGTGGCATACATATCAATAAGTGCATAGCCTAATGATGAAGAAATTATTTTGCCCAACAAATGTATTTTTTATTTTTTCAATATAATCTCCTTTGTTAGTTCTCTTTTTTCGGCGATGAATATAATCCGAGCAGTATGCAGTGAACATTTTAGATCAAAATTCAGCTAGTTACCTACATATTCATCCGGCTGTGTGGGTGTGCGCACATGCAGGCATGTGTGTATAAGTACTAGTTTTCAGCAAGAAGAACAGGTAATTTTGGTTTCAATTAAAAGCATTTATGCTTATATACACGTTAACAAAACTCTATACTTTCTATAGACAGACATACTCGTTATATGGAAACGCCAACAATTTTGGATTCAAATTAGTTGATTGTCAATACCATCTCTGATGTAAGACAGTTATAAACGAATTAGCAACTCAGTCTGTTGGATCTCTTCCAGTGAGTATTGTCTTCTGTTCCTAACGGTGCATAATAATTATCTGAGCTCGATCTCATTAAGATGAGTTATCTTCAGGGAGTTGGGTAACCATAGTAACCAAACACGCGGCGACAAAGCGACCTAGATATGACAGAGAAATGGCAAATATCAATTGATTAACTAAATATTAACAATACCCAGAATTATTCAAACCAAACTTGCAAATCTAAAGATAATGACCGATCACTTCAGTTAAACGACGTTATGATAAGTTAGTATAAAACTGAGGATTATTTAAATATTTTGTAATATTTATGTTGCTCTGTTATATTTGGTAAAAGAAAGTTGTATGGCATCAGTCATATGGAGACATTCGTAATATTGTGTTGAAAACAAAAAAATTAGTTCCAAGAGAAATACACGCTATGAATTGTAGTTTGCTTGTACTTTGGGTTTTATAAATAAAACAGATTCCCTGTGCAACCTTTGAAAAATGAGTAACAATATCACTTAATGAAATTGCCATAGGTAGATAATAATATCTTACCCCCATATGCCAAGAATATATGTGAAGGCATAGGCAAAATGATAACACACTGAATTGTACAGAATATTTAAATACGACCATATAATAAATTATGGAAGAAAAAAACAAAGAAAAAAGGGTCATCGAAACGTGGGTCGGCCTTTGCTTAGGTACAGGGACAAGCTGAACAGTAACCTCTGCAAATATAGATCACACTACCTTTGAGAACATCGTAATTGATCGTAATGAATGGAAGATTACATGCTACAATGGCATCAAGAACTAGGCAGCATCAAACATTGCCAAGCTTCGTCAAACTAGGGAAAGGAATAAAATATCTGCTGCTGTTCCAGCCATATACTCCAATAATCCACACTCTTGTACAATCTGTGGACTTCTTTGCAAATCACTGGCGGGACTGAAGTGTCACTTGCGACTCACGCACAAGGTTAAATAAGCAGAGATGTTGGAACCTCATACGTCGAAACCGACGGGAGAGTCCATCATATATATATATATATACATACATATATAAAACTCATTTTCTTAAATTCAACCAACAAATTAATTATGTTTACATTTTTATTGCATTTTTCCACTTATCAATTAAGATGTATCGGTATCAAAATTGCGGATAAACTATCCGAAGTTCATGTTTTGTTCTGTGTTTTTGCATATTCGACCGTCCAAGAACGGGCTGTTATTAGTGTATCTGATAATATGATGTTGGCAATATGCTGGTATTTTTGGGGAATGCTGGAATTTGAATTAGTCCAAAGTGACATTATATGTACCGATTAAAGCGATGTACACCACACCGGAAAAGCATTTATCAAATGTATCATGTATGTTTATTCTTATTAATTTGTACGTATATTAAATATTTTATACACACTTCAAGATACTGTCTTCTGTGTTGAAAGATATTTAATGCGGGTTTGTTTCTTTTGTATGATAATATCTTCTTAAATTTTCATGCATTCCATGTGTTTGATATTAGGTATTAATAGCCTTATGTTCATGGTTGTATTTTGGTAGTTTATGATACGATTACCGACATGTGCACGAATTACACGAAGTGGCAAGTTAACCTACGAGAGAGTGTGGTGTATGTGTAGCCAATGTAAGAATTTAATGTTTTTTGATTGCTGATATTGGAGATAGCATCTCCCAGAAGACATGGGGATTCATAAACAATACTGATTTTTTATGTAGGTGTTCATTTTAGAGGTCCCGAGTTATTGGTAATAGTTAGTTTAGATGTTTAGAACTTATTATAGTAAATAATGAATTCAAGCTCTTTGTTGGGATTATATTTTTAAGAATATTTCCATGTTGTTTATAGTCAGGATGCATCTGGTTCCAGTAGAATAAATTAATGGTGTTTTTATTTTGCCTTATATCAAGATGATATTTATGCTTTTCTAAATTTTCTTAAGGCTAATCTTATTTGCTCGTCGACAAAATAGTTGGGAAAATTATTGTTGATTATTGTTTGTTCTATATTGCTTCATTCTTTCTAAAGTAATATATCCAAAGAATAAATTATTTTGGCATTGTTAATCATGTTTTTTCATAAATATATTTTATATCTGTGAGATTGCTCACTTTTGTAACTGAGAAGTAAAACAATACGAGAAAGCCTATTATTAAATATAATTCGTCGGTACATTTTACTTGTAGATTCCAACAAATAGCTTTACCATGAAAAATTAGAAAGTCTAACTTAATTATTACCAATAAGTTAGGACATCAAAAATCCCCTCTTTGTAAATCCAGTTCTTGATAAAGACCCGGAACAAAACATCAACTTGAGGTAGTTTATCCACAATTATGATACCGATGTACAATATCTTATTTGAAAATTGAGAAAATTCAATAAGGAATGAAAAAAAAAAAAAATAAGAAAGAAAGAAAAGTAAGAGCGACTGCCAAGTGCCATTTACATTTGCATTTCTATTTCGAGTATTGATTTGGGTTGGTATTGCGGGTAGTAAAATTATCGAGCCCTTCAAATTTGATTATAATGCCAATGTAGGGATTTATTTTAACTTCTTGAACAAAGCGTCTTTTGTGTGGTACAGGTCACAACCAAGAAACTTTATGTTAAAGAGTTTCTTCATGTTACATCACATCTTGTAAAACTGACTGTTGCCTACTTTACCAAAACAGTAAACACCAGATTAATAGAAAGGATTCCAGCATCTCCACATATTAATCCAATAAAAAAAAAATTAGGTTATGATTAAAAGAGTTAAGTTTTGTCATTTAGTTCTCTATTTTTATTCTATATTTTCTATGATTTTCTTCCTCTTCAGGTTGCCTCTTCAAATCAATCTTTCTTTAAAAATATTTATTTGGGGTTTTAAGTCATAATAGACTTTTTCTTCTTCGTAACCCTTTCATTTAGCTTCAACTGCTTTTTAGGAGTTATTTTTATTCGAACACTTACCTCTAAGTCATCTAAAGATGTTCGATTAAAACTTGATCGATAAAGTTCCTTGCATTCTTTGCTCTCTCTTTCTGTCTTGGCATCGACTTTTAATTCTTCGTCGCATTCTTCTTCCTTTAAATGTAGATGTTGCTGTTGCTGTTGTAATCTTTGGTGTTGTTGTTCGTGATGATGCTGATGATGGTGGCTATTACTGTGATAGTGATATGTGTTTTGTTGCAAGGAACTTTGCTGCTGCTGCGTGCTGTTTTCGTCCAACTGCAATACTGAATCGGTTAACTTTTTATCATTGAAGCCATCTTGTCGGTTCTTATTTTCACTTATCATTGCCACTGCTCTCGACGTCGAATCTACTGTCTCCTCTGTCACGCCCGCCAATGCTGCTGCTTCTATCGATTTTTTCTCCATCTCCAAAACGCTACATTTGTCCTCACTTTCGTCCAACACATCAATCTCTATACAAGGATCTTCTTCCTCTGAGTTCGCATCGGACAAGTGCATATGTGATTCTCGAAACATAGCAATCCCAATCACTTTCTCATTTTCGTGTGCCGGAATTATATCGCTGGCAGAACACACAGCCGGTTTTTCGGCATCGGCTGAAGATTTGGGCCGGTTGCTAACAGGGTTCACGGGCCTGAAAGCTGACAATCGATGGCCAACTATTGGTGGTTTGTTCAGATCTTCCTCATTGCTAGAGGAAGTGCCTGAATCTTCTTCTTCAGAACTTGATGGTGTTAAATTTACGGACTGGTTAATCTCAGTTGTGTCTTTTGGACCTCTGTTGGGCAGAGCCTTCGCAAAATACGGGTTAGTTTGGTATTCTGTTGTCGGTCTGCTTAGACCGAGATGGCTAGCCCAAAATCGGTCGTAAG